AAGTAGAGAAAGTAAGAGTTGAGCTTTGTTAACTTACTCTCAAAAACAAATTTAAAAACTAATTTTGGAGCCAGGCATGGTGGTACATGCTTGTAATAACAGTACTTGAGAGGCTACGGCAGGAGGAACAGCCCCAAGTTTGAAGCCAGCGTTGACTACATGGTAAACTCAAGACCAGCCTAAGCTATATGAGACCTTGTCTCAAAAAAGGAAAAGACAAACAAAGACTGGTATTAGAAGTTAAACATACATACAAACAAAAATTCTGTTGCTCAAAGTATGAAATTAAACTAAGCCAAAAAAATAAAATAAGCCATAAAATGTTTATGCAAACATTTAAAAATGTCAATGTACTGAGTATCTAGTATCATGCTTAGTGTCAACTCCCCAAATAAATTCCCAAGATATTCTACTTAAAAGTTGTACTATTTATAAAGTGAAGTTTATTTCAATATGAATTTCTCTTGTCATTTTTTAAACTATAAAATTACTGCTGGAAATGTATCAATACTAAAAGAAAATGTTAAGTGAAAAAATGAGAATATCACTATCAAAAAAGTAAATTTTTCATTTCTGCAGTACAAGATTCAAACTTTTCTGTTTAGGAATAAAAATTCTATGTTTAATTTTACTTGATTTCTTCCCAAAATGGAAGTTATAGAAATATTGCATAAGGTTCTTTTATTCTCTAACCAAACTGCCTTAAAAATCTCTATTTTTAAAATGGTGTTCGTTCATTTGTTGGTCACACTTATAAAATACTATACTGCAGATTTTTAAAGCTATTAGGAATATCATTATTGCTACTTAAAGTGATAATCACAATTAACTATTTTAAAAAATGGTGTCTTTAGGGTCACACATGTTATTTTATTTTAATGCTCAATTTTTAGTTTGGCCACTTTGTTGAAGACTTTCATTGTTAAAACTCTGTACAAAAAAATTAACAGGGAACACCCGCTCAGGCCCCCCTCCTGTCCCTCTCTGGGACAGGAGCTTTCTTTCTCCCAATAAATACATTCTGCTCATGAAAAAAAAAAAAATTAACAAAACCTGGCAATAACTACCCTCTATAAATAACAATTATGGAAAGCATAATTCCAATGTTTACATCATTTAGACAAATACCAGATTCATACACAGAACTGTCAAATCCTTAATTTTAACAGGTAATAATTATAGTCTGAAATTTTTAGGTGAGAAAATCCCCAACTTCTGCTTTAGTCTCCAAATTCTAATAAAAAGTAGCACATTAGCCAAAAAATTTAAGACAGTAAACTAATTTTGTCTTATTTTGAAAAGGTAGGATTTTTTTTTTCTTGATCTTTGTTTAATGCCATAATGTTACACAAACTAGTTCAATAGCTTTAGTTAAAATACTAATTCATGGGCTGGTGAGATGGCTCAGTGGTCTAAAGCACCTACTTAGAACAAGCTTAGCAAAGTACAGGGACCGCGGTTCAATCCCCCAGCACCACATGCCAGCCGGCCCCACCCCCTGGTGGGCTGAGCTGGCCACACACACACTAAATAAATAAATAAATATTTTAAAAAAAATACTAATTCGTAAAATATTTCCTTCTGGAAAGGGAATATGGCTTTTGAAGAGACATTCCAGATAGCTGAGCTTAGTATGATAAAGCTAAAAGGTCCCCAAATTGCTACACAGTTCATTGTCATAGGAACACTTTCATGCAAGTGAAGCTTTAGCAATGCATAATAAACACTTCATAAATTGAATCATAAATGACCTTAAATTGGTCTGTACCATAAATGTGTTTGAAGTTTTTCTGGTTAAAAAATACTTCTACTCACACAAGGAAGAGTTCACTTCCAGGAGGTCCTATGGGCTTACTATTATGCTAAGGATAATATAGCAACTTATCTAGGTGGAAGGAAGGATAACAACCTTGGGGGGACTTCTGGCACCTAACTGATCTTCCAGTTATGCAATACTCAGTCTCTAATCCTCAACAGCGGCAGTAATTCATTTGAGATGTGTACTGGAGTTGTGTGTCCAGGAGGCAGGCCAGAGCACAAGCTTGGAACACACAGGCAATTCATTTATCTCGTTTATCTCTCAGCACTAGGAAACCTTTGCTTCAGATATACCTGCAGTCCACAAAGACCAAAGTGTAACAACTATAAATGTTTTACTGTTCAATGTTTGCAAACATGAAATTACATAGGTAGGCAATGAGATGCACTTTAGTTAAATCCCTTTTCTAAAGATCAACACATTTTAGGAAATGTCCAGTCATGATTTTATAGTCTTCTTTCCACCCCTCAAATACACAAAAAACTAAAAACCACAGATAGAAGATATGTAAGTACTAGGGTTCAAGCAGTCATTTTGTGCTGGTTGTTTTTCATTTTCTCAAGCTACCATCCCACCCCATTTTCTCTTGCACAAGTATTTACTTCTCTCTTATTTACAAACATCTACAAGATAGAACAGAGAGAAATAAGGTAGCAATATTATACATCAGCAAAACGGCTTGAGGGGATTCCTAATGAAGCAAACTTAAGCTTTCTAGAAGACTAATGCTGAGAAAGGGGTTTCATAAGCAGGCATTGCAATAGAAGAGTTGTTGAAAATTGTCTGTTCTATAGTAAGGTAACCAACAGAAAATTTGCTTTATTACATAATGCCTCATTCAGCTCCTTTTTCTTTGGCTGACTACTACTCAGTATGAGAGAAGAATGCAAGATGTTAAACATTAAAAGGCAAAAGGGAACAGTCTGATTAGGGTAGGGAGGTAGTTGTTTTTCAGCTAAAACAACTCTTGCCAAAATAGAATTATGTAATCTTAGCATCTTCATAGACTGAAAACTGGAAGAGTCCTTACAGACCATCTGGTTCTACCCTCTCATCTTACAGACAAGAAAACTAAAATTTAAGTTCAAAAATCAAGCAGTTATATAATGGAAAAACCCTGAGACTTCTTCTGATTCAACACATTAAATATTCAATATCTGCATACATACAACAATTTTCCAAGGTTCCCCCCCCAAAAAAAAAGACTGCTACTTAGAAGATAAAATTTGTTTCTCATTTAAAACTCATCTTTGTTAAACAAAATGATTCTTTGCTATTTCTATTCCTTTCAGAGCTTTGAGCCTACCAGCACAGGTGTAAGCAGGAAGGTGAAAATAATTAAAAAGAAACTGCAAGGGGGAAAAAAATGCCAGCTAGTTAAGAAAACATAATCAATAGAAATTGCTACTGGGATTAGTAGTTACTGCAATAAACTACACTGAAGCAAAAAAAAAACTGCTTCTGGAGGGTTCTCCTGCAACGAGAAAAACCGCAAGACAGGAGCACTGTAAAAGTACTGGAATGCATGTTATATAAGACAGCTGACTAGAGTCATTAGAATTCTTGCAGCACAAGAAAGCAGAAAGTGCCTTTTAAAACCAGAACTCCAGATGACACCAGAGCAGGTGGTCCTGAGGAACACAATCTGAGAAAGACTAGCCTGTGCATATCGTGGTCTATGGAAGTTAAAAGAATTACAAATTTTAGTTCAGCGAGTTCTGGGACACAACTAGCCTAGCCTGATCCTTTCAACCAAGCAGGCAAAAAAAGAAACGCCTTTCAGAAAAAACCACAGTAAGGCTGATTCTGTTCCCAGCCGAGAAAGGCAGGCAGACAGGGTGGTTGCCACATAGTCACCCCAAGGAGCCGAAGAACATTATATAATTGCTGTCCAGGCTCTAAGATGGAGATCACAAATTCTCTCACAGACGTCTATCATTAGCCAAGGTTCTTCATCGCTAAGTGACTTACAAAGTTATGGTTCTAGTTTTAACGTAGAGAAATACTTAGTCACTCACTAAAGAAAAGGAAGAAAAGGAAGTTTATAGTTGTTGAAAGAATTCTTTTTCTATATAACTATCGTCTGTGACTACTGTGTGGAGGGAAGACTGGCCCCACTGCTTAGCCTCAGCACTGGGATACTGGGATCTGGGAAAACAAGAAATGGCACAACATTTAAACTATGGTGAATTTGCAAGAAATTGTTAAGACTCTGAAAACAGGACCACTGTATGATAAATAACAAAATCTGTCTGAGTTAAAGCTGACCAGCATATTTAATTCTGGTGTGTTCTGAGTTTCAAATCTTCACCATAGTGGAACACAGAAAAGCTGTATGAAATGACATCATCCGATGGTTTCTCCTTTGGAATTCTATGTGTTTACAGGAATTAAAGTTATAGGCACATGATAGCATTAAGAATATATATTTGTCGAGACTGGGTACTTGTCTATCACCTATTTTAGGTACAATGTTAAAGAGCTAAGATAATTTGCATCAGCAGTTTTTGACTGCATTCCAAACATTTTCAAGAACTAGACTTTGCAATGGGTTCAGGGAAAACAGCACTAACACCAAATCCGTTCATTCTTTTAGGGAATCAGTTCCTATTTCAAGGCAACGCAATCACAAAAAAAAAAAAAAAAAACCACCAACCCTTACGTTTAACTAGAATATTTGCAAATTAAGTACAAACATATCCAGATTAAAGTATGGTAATATATTAGTGGCCTAGTTTTCAGTGGTAATTTTCATTAGAACAATAAAAACTAATTTGGCACACAGATGATTTTTTTAACGTCAGAACTAAAATTATCCTATTTATAATAGAATTTGAAAATCACTAACAAAGTGAACTAAGCAACGTAAATTGTATTGTTAATTTCTACAGGATTAAATTTCTCAGCCTAAAAAGGATATAGTAGGAAGAGGCAACTTCTCAGAAAATAAATTTATAACTGTCTAAGCAAATAAAAGTTAACGCAACAACAGCTCCCGTCTAGACTTTTATTTAGGGCTAAAGAGAATTTTGCAGTAATTTTTAAGGGACGGGGGCTGGGTTTCAGGGTTACAAATCAACACCCATATCATAATTCCTAATCTTTACCAGGCACATTTGTTTTAACTATAATATCACCAGACCTACTCTGAGCTGTCCTCCCCCTTTCCCCGCCTCCAGACCTCGCGGTGAAGTTCATCTGCCGGCATCTAGGGGCCATGGCAAAGGGAAGTAAAGAAAAACACTGTTTTTACAATTACGACGATCGCAGCCGCTGGACTTGGCCCAACTGCTGCTCAGTATAGAAACGAAAGTAGGAAACAACAGAGGTGCAGAGGCTTGGGATGATGTCAGCCATTTTAGACACATTATTTATACTGCGAAGGGAGCCGAAGTCGGCGGCGGGGCTGCCGTCCCTGCGGCCCCCGGTGCGGTCGGCACCGACCCGACTCGCGCTGCTCCCCGAGCGCGAGCGCCAGCGGGCGCGGGGCTCGCGGGCCTC